CCATTCATATTTATTGTACCAATTTTTACTAAATGATCTGTTACTTCCGCAATTGTTTTTATTTATTAAATTTTTCATGTCAGGCGTAGGTTTTAATCTTGAAATAAATAATAATTTATCATCGAAAGTTAACATACAAAATTTTTTATTTAATAAAAAATTAATAATATCACCATTGCTACTCACCAATTCGCTATTTTCGGCTTACCATTTTGCTTTATTCCAAACTATTAAACAATAAAAACTTACCTAAACCACTATACTAACCCTAACCTAGAACTTACAAACAACCAAGTCGTGAAGTACAAGGAATAACAAATCTCTACCTTCCTATAAAGTATAAACTATGAAATAAAACTATCAAACCGCAGATTACACGTAAGTACCCGAAGAATATACGAGTGAAGTCGAAGGGCTTGCCCGGAGAGTTATTTTAGGTAATTATGTATATTCAAATGATAATTTATTAAAAATCTGATTGAAATAAAAAAAATATATTAAATAGAAGCTATTTTTTTTAATCGAACAGTTTATTATTTGAAAAAATAAATAAATATGTATCGAATTTAAAAGTCCTAAAAAATAATTTATATCACTTCCATATTTACAAACTCGAATCTATTAAAATATTGAACATTTTTCAGCAATCACTCTTAATTTAATTTAACAGTAACGCTACAAAATAACCATAATAAATATAATTGTCAAAGAACATTCAACATATCATAGATATTTATTTTTTAAGGCGATTTAGAAATTATTACAAAACGGTTTATTACTTCGTTTACTAATATTTGTTTTCTGGACTACCATTGCAGGGAAAAATTGTTTTAATGTTCAAAAATTCATTTAAAGAACAAAATTACAGCACATAAATATACCGCTGCTGGTTGGCTGGCGAAAAGCCGTAGCTGGCCGAAACAATACTCGATGAGTATGCGGGTGCAGGCTGTGTCCGGGCTCGCCCGACTTGGGCTAGATATTCTAAATTAGTGAACGACTTACGTTTCCGATTACTCTCTAGTCCTAGCCCTGCGNTGGTAAAAGACAATTTGTTACTAAATTTCAGCGCGAAATGTCGTTATTTTTTTACGTGAGTGCTGGGGTTAAAGTTAGACATTTTAATCTGCTCTAATTTTTTTACACTTACTTGGACCCCTTAACAATCATATAGAATCGTTAGAATATCAATTTTCTTTTTTTGAATAATTCTTGGAGCGAATTTAAAAGTTAGAAAAATTTTGACTTTATAAACAATTACTTTCGTGAAGAGGTTTTGCGGGTTGGAAAATATACCAAAGTACTAAAAAAACAGTTCTCGGAAAGATGCTTAACTTGAAAAAAAGAACGTTCAAATCGGTCCTAAAAGTTCCGAGATATCGAGTGTCAAAGTCAACAAGCGTTAGCTGCAAAACTATGCATAATGTAACAACAACATNTGCGGGCTCGCCCGACTTGGGCCAAATATTCTAAATTAGTGAACGACTTACGTTTCCGATTATACTGTCTAGTCCTAGGTGCGTATAAGCATGCAAGGTATGGTTGGGGTACGGCGTTGTTTAATTCAGCGGCTACGGGCTAGCCCGAATGTTATGTTGGTTGCTGCCGAGATCATGATTAAAATATAATTTTAAAATTTGGTAGGGGGAGTTTCAAAAGAGGTAACGCATTTTAGATTTAATTTTATAAGAGCTGTCAAATCACTTTGATAAATATATACACAAATTTTTGTTTATTCTTCTGAAAATTTCAGGGTGGGCACTTAATGTAAATGGCGAACATGAAACTAGACAAATTTTTCTTTTACACGCTACCACAAAATATCGATTGCCTTTTTCCAGCTGCTCCCAATGATCTACCCGGTGTTCGAGTCGTAGGAGGCGGCGATGCCGCGCCGGGCCAGTTCACTTACCAGGCCTCAGTCCAATATTGCTTCCTGGGTGCCTGCTCGCACGCCTGCGGTGGCGCCATCATCGGTTCCCTATGGGTCCTGTCAGCTGCTCACTGTATCACCCAAGCCCCCGCCCTTGGCAGCTACCAGATTTTAGTCGGCGTCCTCAACCTCGACGATGAGAACCCGGAGAGACAGTTGCACCGCGTCAACTACGCGATCATCCACCCGGAATACGGAGGGTGAGTTTTTACCGATTTCTTCTTGTAGGTTTAGAAAGGTTACTACTTCGATCGGTGGCTAGTTGAAGGTTGTGGGTTTAATTCCCAAAATTGTAGGCAACCAACCCAAGTAAAATTTTTTGTTCCGATGCTATCTTCAGTCGAAAATCCGTACCAAACAGTTGTGGATGCAATTTTCTGGGAATTCAAAGACAATTACAAAAATGTTTCGGTTTAAACTTATTTGCATGTTAGTTGTTAAACAAGGTGTCGATTTGAAGATTTAGCCACGAAAAAATCTAAAACTTATTTTTTTTCCTTCCCAGTGGTAACGCTGACCCCCACGATCTCGCGATCTTCAGGCTGGCCACTCCGCTAACCTTCAGCTCCATGATTCGACCGATCAGTCTCCCAGACCAAGACGAAATCTTCGAGGACGACGCAGTCCTGTCGGGATGGGGATCCACCAGTGGAACTATAATACCCGAAATGCCCAATACCCTCCAGTTTGTTGAGGTGCCCATCATTGTTCCTAAAAGTACGTTCAAAATACTTTGCAGCATCGAAAGAAAACTCTAAACAATCATTTCAGCATGCAAACAAGCTTTGGATGCCATAATAGGAGACGCACCGAATCCCCTGGACTTGAAAGCCAACATTTGTACGGGACCATTGACAGGAGGAGTCGCCATTTGCTCTGGAGATTCTGGCGGTCCGCTGGCTGATCTCCGAGGAGAAACACTGATAGGTATCGCGACTTGGACAGCCAATCCATGTGGCAGACCAGGCGCACCTTCTGTCTACAACAGAGTCAGCTACTACACCCGCTGGATCAGAAATTCTATCTCTGTCTAAGTGTGTTCACTTTATTTACTTTTCATTTAATTTCTGAAATAAAGTACTAGTCCGATATGGGATCTTTGATTAGCCCCAAAACAATCCTTATATCCTGCATAATTAGACAAGACCCTAACTGCTGATATTGTAGGAAATAACTAACACTATGGACTATAAAGCCCAACTTGTATTCATTTCTAGCAAACAGCTAGTAATCCAAAATAAAAACTAATGGCATCTGCTTGGCTGTAGGGTTTTCTGACGTCGTATAACTATTGATCACTGGTTATTGCCTCTTACAATGATCCATCAATATTTGGATAGGGGGTGTAGTCTTTTGTAAAGAGGACAGAGCGGTTGAGTCTGGCTCCATTTTTACCTGCGGTGCTGGGATGCTAGTCACCTACTCGCCGGTAAGAGGACTTGGCTGCTGTCCGTTGTACTAATCATATCTTGTAGATATGCAGATAGCGCGGGTGTCTCGCTAACCAAGACGTCAGGGATAGGGATCTGTTGCTCTTCCTTCATTGTTGACGAGATCGTAGGCTGCTTCTAAACCAGGGAACAATAATGGATCGTGTATTAACATTGGCTAGGTCACTGGTAGATAACTTCAGCTGGTGTGGGTGTGTAATAACTCGAGGTAAATTAGTCGAAGGCTGGCTAATAACTAACTTTATTTCAATACTCATACAAAGAAGGTAAAAAAACATTCGTATAAAAAGTCTTTATAAAAACAACGATAACAAGAATATGTTAAAGGATATATATATATATATATATATATATAT